ACAACACAAAATTTCTGTCTCAGGAGGCTCTTGATGGTTGTGTGTGTGTGTGTGTGTGTGTGCAGTGATGCTACAAATACTGTCTCAATTCAATTTGGAAAGAGAAACCGGTAGATAACTGTTATGGATGGGACACCACTAAGAAATCCTGAACATCGGGCTATAAGCATTTTGATAAACAACTAACCTGGGAAGTGGAGGGGGGGGACATCCCATAAGAAGGGAGGGGCAAGCCGCTTCCTCGGTGTTTCCAGGGAAACCACACAGCTGTGTTTGGGCAAGCTGGAGGATCGAAGAAGTTGAGCTTCGGGGTTGGAGGTTGGCTCCTTCTCCCGTTGAGCCCGTTGAGGCCCTTCCTGTGCCCACCCAACGAACGAGGTTCCCTTTGCTTTTGGGCAGAGAAGGACGTGACCAAGTGAAGGACCAAGGCTGATCCAAAGGTGCTTTTCCAAGAGGCAACTGGACTTTCTAGTTTTTCTCTGAAGACCTTTCGCTTCTCATCTAAGAAGCTTCTTCAGCTCTGCCCTTCTGCTCACCCAAGAAGCTTCTCCAACTCACTGAAGAAGCTTCTTGGATGAGAAGCAAAATGTCTTCAAAGAAAAACCAGAAAGTCCGGTTGCCTCCTGAAAAAAGCACCTTTGAGAAAAAAGCGCCTTTGGGACAACCAGGACCTGGGTTGACTGAGAATCTCCATAGACCACCACCAAGGCTGATGTTCCTTCACTTTCCCACCCCGCTTGGACTAACAGCCCTTCCCTGCCCTCAAGTTGGGTTCTTTGCTGGGTTTCCATGTCGATGAACGATGCTTCCCCTGTAAAACTTCTCCTCCTCCTTGCCTTCCCCTTCCAGATTGTTGACCCCTCCGAAAGACAGCTCTAGACAGTGCTGTAGAAAGACTCCTTAATGCCTGCAGCCCAGGAGGAGCATTATGGATCTGACTAAGATGGGTACGATTCAGCTCCAGAACTCCAGCCACGCGACTGGCCTTCTCCAGAAAGCCAACCAGATGCGCCTGGCTGGCACCCTCTGCGACGTGGTGATCCTGGTGGACAGCCAAGAATTCCATGCCCACCGGACCGTCCTGGCGTGCACCAGCAAGATGTTCGAGATCCTTTTCCACCGCAACAGTCAGCATTACACCTTGGATTTCCTCTCGCCAAAGACCTTCCAGCAGATTCTGGAGTACGCCTACACCGCCACCCTGCAGGCCAAAGTTGAGGATCTGGATGATCTGCTCTATGCGGCGGAGATCCTCGAGATCGAGTACCTGGAGGAGCAGTGCTTGAAGATCTTGGAGACCATCCAGGCGTCGGAAGACAATGAGGCCGAAGTCAGCATGACGGACGGTGTGGCCGAGGAAGAGGAGGACCGGAAGTCCAGATACATTAAGAACATCCTGCTCTCCAAGCATTCCAGCGAAGAGAGCGGCTACTCCAGCCTGGCCGGCCAGGCCCTGATGGGGACGATGCTGGAGCACAGCCCCTCCGTCTCCACCTCCTTCGGCCTGGCGGCCATGAGCCCCACCAAGACTGCCGTGGACAGCTTGATGAGCATCGGACAGTCCCTCTTGCAGGGGGGTCTGCCCCGCCAGGCCCTGGAGGACTTGCACTCTGCCAATGGCCGGGGCCCGGCCGTGCCCGAGCTGAAGACTGAAGCCATGCAGGTGGAGGAGGCCTCCAGCCACGAGAGCCCCCGGTCAGCGGAGCTGGGCGCTTCTGGGGCGGACAAAGTGGAGGATAAAAGCAAGCAGGGGCCTGGCACGCCGACCCGCAGCAGCGTCATCACCAGCGCCCGGGAACTTCACTATCCCCGGGACGACAGCGCGGAGCAGCCCCTCGAGGTGGTGCAAGGCCCCCCGGTTGGGCCGGAGCTCTTGGCCTCCCATGGGGAGAAGCCGATGAGCCTCTACTCGGTGCTGCCCAACCACAAGAGCGAGTCCATGCTTGGCCTGCCCGTCTCCATGGCCCCTACGCTGCATGTGCAGCCGGCCCTGGCCGTCTCCATGGACTTCGGCTCCTACGGGGGGCTGCTCCCGCAAGGCTTCATCCAGAGAGAGCTCTTCAGCAAACTCGGGGAACTGGCCGTGGGCATCAAAACCGAGCACCGGAGTGTCGGGGAGCAGTGCAGCGTTTGCGGGGCGGAGCTGCCGGACAACGAGACGGTGGAACAGCACAGGTAGCCCTTCTCTCCCTTCTCGGGGGTTTTGCACTCGTGCTCAGAAAGGCTGTTCCTGGGCGATAGGCAAAGTGGCAGGCAGTTCCCAGGGACCCGAGGGATGGGGTGTCTTTCTAAGACTTTCCCGGGAAGGCAGTGAGCTGCAGGCTACGCCTCTTGCTAGGAAGAGAAAATAAAACGGAGGGAAAAAAAGATGATTTAAAGCTGAGAAGAGGCTCTGTAGGGTAGGTGGCATCTTTGCAAGTTGATCTTCTGAATAGGAAGGGGGCCTCAAGGAGGAACTCCTCCTCCTCCTCCTTCTCCTCCTCCTCCTCCTCCTCCTCCTCC